ATATACACACACATACATATACACACACACACACACACAGAGTAATACTTCAAGCCAGGGCTTAACAAAACCAAAAATATTGAAAAGCATATGTTTGCCCGGCTGAATATTTCTACTTTTTCACCCCCCTTAAACAATAAAAATGAAAAACAAAACATTTTCGGATGAGATAATTGAGTGACAAAATCACTAAAAATTTAAAGCTTACATTTATAATTGTTAGAATGAATTTGAGGTATACATGCCTCGGCCTGGAGTCTGCTTTTGCATACCACAAGGAGGCCCAAGTGACATTTACAGTACCTTGAAAAACAGGGTTCCCTGAATCAGCTATTTAATGTAATTTGTCTAACGTCTGCAAGCAAGCAAAGACAATGTGTAACAAGAAAAAAAAAATAAAATACCTGCCATCACATTTATAAGACAGACTGTCCAACTGAAGTGATTTTGGTTGCTCTGACTCTGCACATCACAAATTAGTTGAAAAACTGGGGGGGGATATAGAGTACATATAGAGTACATATAGAGATGTAGTCCACAACATCTGGAGTACCGAAGGTTGCCTTTCTCTGGTAGGCTATGGTAATTCATCTGACACTTTTAAAACCACTGTTTAGGAAAATCATAGGTAGCTCCATCATACTATTTAGATAGATTTGTGTTAAATAAAACAAAAAACAAACATTTTATATGCTCTAGTCAAAATCAAAGCTTTATTTTTAGGCCTATATGCCATTTGCTGCACCTGAAACTTCCATATGGCTGTATATATGCAGGCATAGCTCACCTATTGAATGTGTGACCCCTAGACTGAGATGTGGAAGCTTGTAATATGTCTACCAGTTGGAACATTGGAAAATAAAGCAAATGGTTCACAGAGCAATAAGGAGGAGAATTTTTTTTTTCCTATAAAATAAGCAACAGCTGACAGAGCAACAAACCTTTATTTTTTATTGCAGGTATAATATACAACATAGTATATCTTTCCAAATCATGGGTATATTTGCAATAGTTACCATAAACGCATAGCCAAAAATAAATAAATGAACAACAGCCAACTACAATCTCCAACCTAGACAAAAAGTTTCCATTTTATGTGGTTGGCAACTCGCAACAATTTGCTAGTTAGTATGTAGCAACTTTGGCAAAATTTGATGTAGTATATTGAGCATAAGTGAAAATAAAATCAGTCTAATCACTAAGTTGACTGGTTCAGATAAGAATACGTAGCCTTACAATTTCATGAGCCAGTTTTAGGCTTACAAGGTGAGGAAATACTTCGATATGTGCAATGAAAGAAGAAGTTCTTAACAAGGTAAAGTCTGTTAACAGCTCCTAGCCATACAATTGGAATAGTATCAAACTGGAGTAGAACTACAACTCCCGCACTGCTTTGCAATTCTTAAACTCCTTAGCTGTTTTAAAACTACATTTTGGCCATCCGTTCATACAAACATCCACTATGGTTCCATTTACAGACCGCAGCACAACAACTGTATCAGAAACCAGAAGAATGTAATAAACTATTGCATTGTGTGTTCTATTCCTCAGAACCACATGATTAATCACATTACCCTGTTCTAGAATTCACTCAATTGATACTTTAACCATGGTATAACCCCGCCAGACCCAGCAGAGATTTAAAAACAGGATCCTAGCTAGTATGTACACCTGGAGGCAGGTGTGAAATTAGGGGATTCTTACCGGTCTTCACAATCCCGGCATTTGATCACAACAGACACAACTTTACAGAAGAGTTCGTCTGCCATTCTGCAGCTCACGGTGCGACCCTCTCTCTACCTGTGCACTGGGCTCTTATTACATATCCCGCAGTCTGCCCAAGCGCTGTGTCCGGGAGCACCTGGGAGGACAGGTGCACAGAGCGTACGGCCGGGCCTGGACTGGGTCACCGAGCAGAGGTAGAACAAAAAAGGCAGCTAGAAAGTTATCATGGCCGCTGCTAGGTGCTCATTCATTGCTCGGCTCCATGCTTGCTCCGTGGGAACAAGGCGGCAGCGGCGGCTGGGCGGGCCGGACCTGACACTCACTGATCCTCCCCTTCACCCCTGATACTCTCTTTCCCCCCTTCCAGCCGCGGCTCCCTCGGGGATTCGCGCCACCTTCCCGCCGCCCGCAGCCCTGCCTGCACTGATTGTTTCCCTACTCCACCTCCAGCCTGTCCTGAGCCGGGGCAGTGCAAGAAGCCCTCAGTACATTAACATTAAATGAACAGCGCCGCAGGCCAGGTGTGCACTTAGGGAGTTAGTGTCAGTAGACACTGGAGTCACCATTTCTAAAGGGATTTGTAGAGCAGGCGATTTATTTCTAGCTGGGAGTGTGGCTAGGACTTTTTTTAGTGTGTGTGTTGGATACAGTTTGTCTGTGCATTTTGTTATGTTTTTAACCGTGGCTTAGACGTATTCGCAGACAAAGCCGTTTTCATAGGGCTTGGTAATTATGTTAAACACTACTGATATCCGATAGCTGAGCTTTATCCACTGGTAACCATGTTATTTTCATAAACATAATAGACAAACTTTGTAACCATTCCTTGACTTCCACATTAATAACAAAGTTGCAATTATACTAGGAAATCAATAATTGGCTCCTCTAATTGCAGTTCTGTAAGACACAGAATGTTTTTGTTTATTAACCTTCAGGCACCAGAGTTAAACTCCTTCTTATTATGAGTATTGTCATATCACTAATTGTAAATGGATTTTAGGCATACTTGTATGTTCTATATAAAATAGGAACTGTATAGTTAGTGGGCAGCATAGTGTCTTGGTTATTTCTTACATAGATCCAATGATTCATTTCCAACCATATTAGAATGGATAGAAAATGCATGCACACTCACTGGGTCTCATTCTTATTTGGTTATTAAATAAACCTTTTTAGTAGGGGTAATTGCTTATTCAGGTTGACTATGAAAATATAGAGTATACTATACATTGAAAGATAAAGTATGTAACAACCTCCTCCTCCTCCCCCCCCAAATGTATATATTTACCCTATAGTGGTGGTTGACAATGTGCATCACTTGTTTAATGTCTGCCTTAGAGATCTGGCTACTGTGGACAATGAACCATTTTGCCACAGTTCTCAGATGGCCATAACCATAGGACAGCAAGGATCACCAAGCTGTTGATGGAGGCCTCAGATGTGAGCTAGTCTAGCAATACCTGATGTAATGCTGCCCCAGGGGTACAACTACTGCAATTTGCAATCAGAGTAAAGCGATACCCTACTCTATGACTGTCCGTGCCATCATCTGTAATGGGTACATGCTGGGATTGACATATAACATTGTTACAAATACCTCTGTCTGCCACTTTGTTGCAATATATTTATTGTTTTCATCAAAATAAACCATGAAAATCATTCCCCAGGTCATTCGTATGAACGAATGACAGACCACCCGGCATATGGAGTGTGCCCCTTATTAGCCACTCAAAAGCTGTGGTTTGTGGTTAACCGCAGCTTACTTGACTAACGGCTGAGTGGTCATCGTTCCTATGAACGTGACGGCGGCCATCTTTAACTGGCGAACAGTCTGGGACCTCCAGACTTTCATCCGTTCGTGGATAATCATACGAACTGAGCGCTGTTCGGTACTTTGATACTCTTGAAGCTAGACCGACCCCATGCCTGAAAACTGTGGAACTAATCTTGGGTTGACTTCTGTCGAACGGCCATTGAGACAAACTTTAACCCCATGGCAATCCCACTGTATTCGTGAGATCTGAGCGCTGTTCGGACATATTGAGCACTCAGATCCAAGCTATATGGGGATATGTTGAACCTAGGGGTTGAACATTGTATAATATGAGTCATGTATTTTTATGTAGTTTTGTTACAGTTTCAGGTTAAGACTATTTTTCTGTACCTGGAGATAATTAAGTTACTACGGTCACGTAAGCCAATTATCTCCAGGATAGAGGGGAGGGATCAGAAAGATGCACTTTACTCTGACTGGTTTATCTTCCTTGTATCACTGTGTTCCATCAGGTCCAGAGGGGTGTGCCCCTGGCCTGAAAATGTGTACATAAGCAATGATTTTGTGCTCAATAAACCAGACTTCTTATCCTCAACTCGTGTGGTAGGGAAATGCTAATCACGAACTCTGCTCAGAGCTCTAGGGATACTCTACACTTCTAGGAATATCGATAAGTGCTGAAGTGGAACTTTTCATCACTCTCCACACACGGGACAAGGACATCCAGGCGGTCCAACCCTCAGCTAGCCTGGGGCAACAGTAACAAACTTGTTTTTTGCTGAATGCATTACAGGTAAGGTACACCATCAAAATATAAAGTTTGACTCCCAAACTTTGTGATCATTCTTAAAGGCGTATTTACTAAGTAATGAGCATTGTGTGTGAGTATATCAGAGTTTTCCACAGCAATGAAAGTAATATGATGGCTGTGTATGATATGTCTCATCCTCCTCCCCACAAACACTTATTATTTTTTTTGAGAGCGAAGTGCTATGATTCCTGGTGGTCCAGTAGGGGTTAATAATTCATCCCTGATGGTCTGGTGGAGGGAGCAAATTATGATACAATCACAGATCTTGAAACCATAACAGATGCATAAACAGTGGATAGTATTGTAGGACTTACTTGGGTATAGCAGGAATAATAAACATCTATCACATTGGCATCCTATTAGAAACTGCACTTTTTAAGTAGTAAACAATAACAGGTGATAACTATGCTGTAAAGGAGGCCTTTGCTGGCTATACATCAACTACAAATTCATAGGATAGAGTGCATTTGGCCTAGTTTCTGATCCACCAACTGAGCTGAACTGTGAATTGGCAGCACTAACAAGCAGTTGGCTAAGAGGCTCAAACAGTGAGAAAAACTGCTATCTGAGCTAGGTGGAATGATACTGGGTAGGGAGACAACAATATATCAGCCCATGTCTAAACATGGAAAGGTGAGTTGAGCACATCTTAAAAATCTGCAGACCCAATTGAGACCATCTAAGTAGGCATTATTGCTTTCCCAGACCCCGCACCCCCAGCCCCAAGCTAACACCAGAGTCTTCACGCACTGTCCAATCTCCACACCACAACGGGTGCGCAGGGTATTGTCCCGAGAGGCTCTTGTGCAGAGCTCCTGAAGGTCGTGAACTGCTTTTAGGGTGTGAATGCCCTTTAGCTCCATGCCCAGGAAGGCAACAGCTGCCCATTGATTCTCTTGTTACTGGTCTAGTGACAGGTAAGGTAGGCTGGTGTGCCTGCTCCTTGAGTCTCCTCCAGAATTGTGTGCAGAGCTCTTCACAAGCTGTGTGAAAGGTTTCTTCCTGCCATTTCTGTGACTTATTTCCCAAAAGCTCTAGTGTAGTAGGGGTAGTAGGGGTAGCCGTTATCTTGATGCTCAGATTGTTCATGCCCTTTACTCTTCTCTCTTCCATGAGTTTTACTGTGTAAGTCAGAGTTGGTGGGGACCGGAATATCCCCCACCGGTCCAGAGTGGGGATAACTGGGCCCAGACAGGCCTCAAGCTTAGAATCCCAAAGTCCCTTCCAACTTACACTGGGCACTGCAATCTCACTCAAGGGGATAGTGTCCCCAACTCATGTAATAGATGGGGACCCCTACTAGGCTTAAAGCATTGGTTTACAACTAGTTTGTAGGGTTTCCTTGAGGAGCCCCCGTAACGTGTGTCCTGCTCAGTCAACTGCTAAGCACCACCCACTTTTAAATACCATGCCCTAATCTTTTACATGATTAAGTATGACTTCAGCAGTTGATCGGACAAGTTAATTACTCCACTTGCTCCCCTTTTGTGCTTATTATGTTTAGTGCAGCATGGCACTGGTTTCATTACCTATCTACCACCAACTGCGACCGTGGAAGTATGTTCACTGTCAATGGTTGTTAGGATAAACACCACCTTTTTGGCTTTGCTCTCAGCATGCTGGCTCTAAAGTACAGATGTTGTCCCCATTCATTTTTTTTTCTGCTAGAGGCTTTGGGAAACCTGTACAGCTTTATTGGAGGTCACAGTCTCAACACTTTGAAGCAATTAAAGAGGTGGGATACTATTGTAATAGTTGTCTATATAGAGGTGATGCCACTTGTGTAGTAAGGGGTTGATTAGGTCCCAGGCAATTTTCCCACTTGTCCCAACTATATCTGGGCAACTTGAGGGAGCCCGGTGACTCCCCTTTCCTTTGTACCCACAAAAATTTCACACAGTTTATACACCTTTATCCCATCTTGGGGCTTGGACCCCCATAGTTGTGAATAGATTAGAATGGACTAGAAATCCCCAAATACATAGATTTCTATAAGGTGTTTAAAAAGGAATAAATCTCCAATGCATATGAAATACAGCTATGACTGCTTAGTGGGGAATATATACAATTTAACAAACGGAATATGTGCTACAAAGTATCCAATTGCTCATTAGACTGTATTTCTCCTTACCAAAGAGACTTTAAAGGATATAAAGTATTTACAGTGTTAAAAAAATTCCCTGACGAAGGTGCCGTTACAAGCACCGAAATGCACGTCGGGTTATCTCCCTTTTTTTTTTTTACTTTTTACTCTGCACTATGTACTAATATTTATTTACTATGAATAAAGTATTTAAGAAGGGGGGGGGGCGAACAAAATCTTTTTTTTTTTTTTTCATTCCGATTTTGGAAACACTTCATATCTTGATAGGTAAATCAATATTCCACATGCGTAGGGTTCAAGATGTAAATAAAATAGAAAGAGGTTTTAGAAACTTTACAGCTACTACCTCAATGGCAGAGAAACTAATGTTGCAAGCATTCACTAATGATATTGACGATATTAAGGAGTGGATAAAATCAGCTCCTATTCTGAGGCAGTTGTTTATACCAGTGTTCTCCAACCCAGTCCTCAGGGACCACCAACAGTCCAGGTTTTGTCAGTATCTCCATTGGAATAATACAGGGAAATACAAAAATCCTGAACTGTTGGTGGTCCATGAGGACTGGGTTGGAGAACACTGGTTTATAACATGAAACCTTAGCTGTATGTGACACAGTGTACATGAGAGTATAAAACTGATGTCTACATGCCTCCCACCTCAGCGTCCTTAGTTAATGGTGGCAGTTACGACTGTGGACTTCTTACCTATGCATCCCTCTACCAACCCCAATATGGCCCCAAACCGAAATGAGTATTCACAAGATGGCTGACAAAGTGTTTCTGGCGGAAGCGGAACACTCGGTATAAACAGACCGGAACTCTAAAGACTCTCTAGGACAGGCATAGGCAACCTTCGGCACTCCAGATATTTTGGACTACACATCCCATAATCTTTTGCCAGCATTATGGGGGATGTAGTCCACAACATCTGGAGTGCCGAAAATTGCCTATCCCTGCCCTATGAACTCAACATTAGGGCCAGAAGTGACGCAACACACCAAAAAGGGGCAGGTTGCGAGTCTATTTTCACATAATGTTTTCATTTAAAAATTGTATTATTGTTTCTATGCACCTTAGGAAGCCGAAACGTGTTGTGCTATACGTGGATATTACCCTGAAGATGCACCTTGTTTACCTAAGTGTAAGATTTTTATATTACTATTTAATAAATTGCTGTATTACATTTTAATGTGCTTGTTCTTTTTATCTTAGGAGAGATATACACTGCTCCAAAAAATAAAGTGTAACGGCACCCCCAGGCATAAAAGGGGTTAACAGCCATTTAGGCGATATTCCCTTCCAGATATACAGGCAGCTACTGTAGACACCAATCCACCAAACCGGAGAGCATACGAATGCTCTCAAACATGCGAATGCTGTAAACAGCCGAATAGGAAAAACCATACGAATAGGTTTACACTCCTAGCAGTCGAACTGGAACAGCATACAATAAATCCCCCCCCCCCAAGAATGAGACAAGGCTCCGTTTTGAGGGTCAAGCAGGAACAGACAGAGCTGTGGGTTTATTGTTCTTATATACACATTCTTACACATTAGTACCACCCACAGGGTTTTGTAAAACAACCAATAAACACATACAATACACTCAGACACTCCCACACAAAATCCTCCCCTCTGCATGTGATACAATTACCTTACACAATGGGTTAATGTAATTATCACAGGCAGAGAAATACAGTTTTTCTACATTATTCATAACTTTTTTTTTTTCCATATATAATTTTTATTGGTTTTATCGGGTTTTCCGGTTCTGATACATAATCATAATACTGATGTTGATACAGACAGTAATGATAACAGCAATAATAGTGATAAATATAGGGATAAACATAATGTTGTGCTGGCGCAGCAGCACATAGACCATTTACATCAAACATTGTTGCAATAATGTCACCTTTGTCGTTTATAACATTTTCAGCTTTATAAGGTAGTCCTTCTAACCTATGTGTATCGTGTCTTAATGTCGCTCGTGTTGCGCTTATTTCGTGGTTGTCGTCTGCGTAGGGGCTGGGTGAGAGCGATTATTGTTTAGAATTTGAGGTTGCTGTGCCTCTTTATTGTTGAGTCTGTGACTTTAGGTGTGTCTGTCATATCATTCAACCGGGGATAGGGTGAGGGGTTGGGGAGGGGATAACCTTTAACTGTACCTATAATTTGACTGTACGTCTGACCCATCCGGCCTAGAAGCTAAGTGCGTGCAGTGTATGTGTTTGGGTCCTTATGGGGCCGTCTGTTTGTCAGTTGCCGTAAGTTGCACTCTCCATGTGATGCAATTTCTCCCGATTTCGGCTGTCTTAGTTTTGTATGTAGGTTAGTGATTGTCTACCTGTACCGTCTCTTTCCGGGCGTCCAGCCATCCTCTCCAGTAGGTGTTGTGTTTCTCAGATGTTCCCTGTATTTTGTGTGCCATCTGTTCATATATGCATATACTGTCTACTCTGCGTGTTACTTCCTCCTGAGTTGGGGGCACGTTGTGTTTCCATTTTGATGCGATCGCGACTTTGGCCGCGGTTAGTATGATTATGGCGATTGTGCTTAATGGGTTTCTTGTTGGGCTTGTCGTAGGTAGTATGTGGAGTAGGTAGTGTGCTGGGTGTAGTGGAATTGACAAGTTAGTAGTTTCCCTTATGACTTTTTGGATAGCGATCCAAAATGGTTTTATGACTGGGCATTCCCAGAAAATATGCAGTAGAGACCCTTGTTGTTGTTCACATCTCCAGCATAGTGGTGAGGTGTTGGGGAATATCTTTGCCAATCTGAGGGGGACTAGATACCAACGCATTGCTATTTTGCTATATGCTTCCCACAGAGATAGGCTTTTTGATGCTCGTTTAGTGGCTTGGAAGGCGTCATACCATTGTTGTATAGTGATTGGCTCCCCTATGTCTTCCTCCCACTTTTCCATATAGGAGTGTTTATGCATGGATTTTCCCTTTTCTAGTGCATTATAGCATAAGGCTAGTGGTTTGATGGAGCGGGATGTCAGTATATAACGGGCTGAGGGTATTGCTAAAGGTGGTGTGGGTGCTGCCGGTTTAATACGTGTTTGTAGTATGTTCTTAACCCTTAGGTATGTAAAGATGTCTCTTGGATTGAGGGAGAATTCGCTTTGCAGAGTGGGGAATGTTTTCAGTTCGTTTTGGGTGTATAAGTCTTTTATTTTATGTATTCCTAGGTTTGACCATGTGAGGAGGGAGAGGTCGGGTGAGCTGGTCTGCAGTGCAGTTAGTGGTGCTTCCTTATGTAGTGTCTGTGCGTCTATTACCTCTGGACCCCAACGTTCCCAAGTATGTAGTGTTGTTTGCGTGCACCATAGTCCTTCTTTACCCACTGATTTAGGCTCGTGGAGCCAGAGAGCATTTGGGATAGTGGCTGGGTGTATGCAGGCGTTTTCGAGGGTTAGCCATAGTGGAGTTTGGTCGGCGCCCGTGGTTCGGATTATACGTAGGCCTTGTGCAAGAAGGGATGCTCTATAGTAGTTACGGATGTTTGGTACTCCCAGTCCTCCTCTCGTGTATGGAAGGCTTAGTTTGGCAGCAGCCAGTCTGGGTGGTTTGCGTTTCCATACATGGGCGTTGATTATGGTTTGGAACCTTTTTAGCAGTTTGGCTGACAGGGGTATGGGAAGTGTGCGAAAGAGATAGAGCACATGTGGCAGGATCATCATTTTGATGGTGTTAATGCGCCCCAACCATGACATCTCCAGTCCTTCCCACTTGTTCATTTGGGTCATTAGTTTATGAATCATAGGTGTGTGGTTTTCCGACGTTAGTGAGTGCACATTTTTTGTCAGTTTTATCCCCAAATATTGAATCGATTTCGACTGCCAGTCGAAGTTATGTGTTTCCTTCAGTGTTTTAATTATATTATGTGGTAAGCCTATGGGGAGGGCTTGGGTTTTGGCTGCATTATTTTTGTAGTATGATACCGACCCATATGAGTTCAGTGTTCTAGTGAGAGCCGGGATAGATTGTATCGGTTTTGTCATAAATACTATTATGTCGTCCGCAAAAAGGGCCAGTTTTTGCTCCCCTGTTGGGGTGTTGAGCCCTCGGATTGAGGGGTTATTTTTTATGTTATAGATCAGGGGTTCTAAGCACAAGATAAAGATGAGTGGAGAGAGTGGGCACCCCTGGCGTGTGCCATTGCGGATATTAAAGGTTTTTGAGAGGAATCCGGTGTTATATATTTTTGCCGAAGGGCAGCTATACAACGCCAAAATGCTGGTTATAAAGGGTTGGGGGAATCCCATGATTTCGAGTGTCATCGTCATATATTCCCAGTTCAGGCGGTCGAACGCTTTTTCAGCGTCGAGAGCCAGGAGAATCCCTTGTTGGTTCGATTTATGTGCCCATTCTATTAGATTGATAAAGTGCCTGGTGTTGTCTCCTACCTGCCTTCCGGGGACAAACCCTGCTTGCTCTTTCGAGATTAATCTGGGTAGGAATGGTTTTATTCTGTTGGCTAGCAGTTTGGCGTAAAGTTTGATATCAGCATTTAGTAGGGAGATGGGTCGGAGATTGGCACATATGGTGGGGGGTTTGTTGGGCTTTGGAAGGGTTACGATATGGGCTTCCAGCATTTCTGGTGGGACAGCTCCTACTCGTTTAATATGGTTGAAAAGTTTGGTAAGATGTGGGGTCAGTATGTCTCCAAATATGTGGTAGTAGTGGTTCGTTAATCCATCTGGGCCTGGCGCTTTTCGTTTTGGTAAAGACTTTATCGTGGAGCGGATTTCCTCATCTGTGAATGGCCTTTCTAGAGAGGTTTTCTGTTCTTGGGTAAGGGTCGGGAGGGTAATGTCAGTAAAGAAGGCTTGTAAGTCTCTCCTTGTAGGTTGATAAGTAGTCCTGTCATTATCTAGTTGGTAAAGCATGGCGTAGTAGGAGGCTAATTCCTCCACCATGTCTTGTGGGTTGAAGAGTTTGTCACCTGCTGCGGACGTTATGTATGGCAGCTTAGACGCTTGATATCTTTTTTTAAGTCTCCTAGCTAGCAATTTCCCTGCTTTATTGCCCTCAACATAGTGGGATTGTTTGAGATAGCGCATGTGCCTTTCGGTGTTGTTCAGATCTATGGCATGGAGTTGGAGCCGTATTTGTTCTAATTGTTTCTGGGTATGTTTTCTGGGTTTTTGCTTATGGGAGGCTTCTAAAGTTGTGAGTTTCGATATTAGGTCAGTTTTCTGCAAGCATGTTCGTCGTTTGTTTTTAGCTCCCATTTGAATGAGTGCCCCTCTTATTACCACCTTATGTGTTACCCACTGGGTTGTAATATTTGTTGTGCAGTTTGCGTGATTCTCAAAGAAGTCGGTGATTTGTTTGTTTAAGGCCTTGGTGTTGTCTGGGTTGTCCACTAAAGCTTCATTCATGCGCCATGTGCCCCTTCCACGAGCCGGGTACGGGACGCGAAGCGTAACCGCAAGCGGCGCGTGGTCAGACCATGTTATTGGACCTATAGAGACATCAACAAGGTGTATTAGGGTGCTCTTGTCAATGAGGCATAAGTCTATCCTAGAATATGTCATATGGACCGGGGAAAAGTACGTATAGTCCCTGTCTGCGGGGTGGAGGCATCTCCATGAGTCATAGAGGTCATGTAGCGTGATTAATTTGGTCATGTGGCGTCCTAGTGAGATAGACGTGCTTTTGGGGCCTTTGTTGCCCGTTCGTTTTACGTCCGCAAATGGATCAGTTGTGCAATTAAAGTCGCCACATAAGATTACATGGCCCCTCTTATATCTGTCTAGTTTTCTCATTGCTGAGGTGAGAAATGATTTTTGGCCCTCATTGGGTGCATACAGTGAGGCTATGGTAATTTCTATACCGTTTAAGGCTCCCACCAATATAAGTAGCCTGCCGTCTCTATTGGTATGCTGTTTGCTCATCGTGAATGCCCAATCGTCGTGGAAGAATATAGAGACTCCCCTGGATTTAGTTGGGGAGAAGGCATGAAAGGCCTGTGCATACTGTTTCACTGAGAATTTCGGTGGATTACGTTTACAGAAATGGGTTTCCTGCAGGCAGGCAATTGCTGCCTTGGATGAACGTAGTTCCTGCGCAGCTAACCTTCGTTTGTGGGGGCTGTTAAGGCCTTTAACGTTAAGTGAAAGTAGTTGTAATGTGTTAGCCATCAGGGTTGTGGGTCAGGGGAGTTGGGTGCAGTTAGTGCTAGGCATTCATCTGGGGGGAAGTAAGTTCGCCTTGTTTTAGTGCTGCGCGTATCAGGTTGCGCATTATTCATAACTTTAAAAGTATTCATCACATTCACATAAAAAAATCAAGCATTTCAACATAGGGCCATAGTCTAAAGGCAGCAGGCGAGCAACCAGGCTCCTCCAATGCACAGTGGCGAGATTGGTCTCGTCACATAAAGGAAACACAATAATAACACATCCTAAATCTGAAGGAATTAAATATTCTTCTGAAATACTTTGTTCTTTACATAGTTGGATGTTCTGACAACAAAATCACACAAAAAATAAAAAATGGAAATCAAACTTTTCAAGCCAGTGTGTCTGGATTTGGAGACACACTCAAAATTAAAGTGGAAAAACACACTAAAGGCTGATCCAACTTTGATGTAATGTCCTTAAAACAAGTCAAAATGAGGCTTAGTAGTGTGTGTGGCCTCCACATGCCTGTATGACCTCTCTACAATGCCTGTGCATTCTCCTGATGAGGTGGCAGATGGTCTCCTGAGGGATCTCCTCCCAGACCTGGACTAAAGCATCTGCCAACTCCTGGACAGTCTGTGGTGCAACGTGACTTGGTGGATGGAGCGAGACATAATGTCCCAGATGTGCTCAATTGGATTCAGGTCTGGGGAAAGGGCGGGCCAGTCCATAGCATCAATGCCTTCGTCTTGCAGGAACTGCTGACACACTCCAGCCACATGAGGTCTAGCATTGTCTTGCATTAGGAGGAACCCAGGGTCAACCGCACCAGCATATGGTCTCACAAGAGGTCTGAGGATCTCATCTCGATACCTAATGGCAGTCAGGCCCCCCAAAGAAATGCCGCCCCACACCATTACTGACCCACTGCCAAACCGGTCATGCTGGAGGATGTTGCAGGCAGCAGATCGTCAGACTCTGTCACGTCTGTCACGTGCTCAGTGTGAACCTGCTTTCATCTGTGAAGAGTACAGGGCGCCAGTGGCGAATTTGCCAATCTTGGTGTTCTCTGGCAAATGCCAAACATTCTGCACAGTGTTGGGCTGTATGCACAACCCCCACCTGTGGACGTCGGGCCCTCATACCACCCTTATGGATTCTTTTTCTGACCGTTTGAGCAGACACATGCACATTTGTGGCATGCTGGAGGTCATTTTGCAGGGCTCTGGCAGTGCTCCTCCTGTTCCTCCTTGCACAAAGGCAGAGGTAGCGGTCCTGCTGCTGGGTTGTTGCCCTCCTACGGCTTCCTCCACGTCTCCTGATGTACTGGCCTGTCTCCTGGTAGTGCCTCCATGCTCTGGTCCCTACGTTGACAGACACAGCAAACCTTGCCACAGCTCGCATTGATGTGCCATCCTTGATGAGCTGCACTACCTGAGCCACTTGTGTGGGTTGAAGACTCCGTCTCATGCTACCACTAGAGTGAAAGCACCGCCAGCATTCAAAAGTGACCAAAACATCAGCAAGGAAGCATAGGAACTGAGAAGTGGTCTGTGGTCACCACCAGCAGAACCACTCCTTTATTGGGGGTGTCTTGCTAATTGCCTATAATTTCCACCTGTTGTCTATCCCATTTGCCCAACAGCAGGTGAAATTGATTGTCACTCAGTGTTGCTTCCTAAGTGACAGTTTGATTTCACAGAAGTGTGATTGACTTGGAGTTACATTTTGTTGTTTAAGTGTTCCCTTTATTTTTTTTGAGCAATATATATATATATATATATATATATATATATATATATATATATATATATATATATATATATATATATATATATATATATATATATTTTATTTTTTTTTGTATTACAACATTATACACTGTTAAGTGATTATTGGTTTTATTTGTTAACACATAAGTGCGCTGTCCACCATTTTTTTTATTGTGTATTTATGGCCTGTCAGCCATTGAGGGCAGACTCTGCAGGGAGCACTGTTTCATATGGCGAGTGTATCTTATAATGCCCTAAACATATGGCGAGTGTATCTTATAATGCACTCATGTTATGAATGTTGGGGACCGTTTCCTGGTGTCCCCAAAAGCGGGACACCAGAGAACTAAGGCAGGACAGGAGCCAAAAATCATGACTGTCTTGAAATATCTTACAAAATCTTTTCAAAATACAAAAAGATTAACTTGTGCATGGCAGAAAAATTTGGTTCAGCCAAATCAATTTTAAAAATT